TGATTATTTTTCGAAGATAATACTTTAGCACAATGTTAGCACAACTTAGCACAACCTAGCACAATAAAAAAAATTTCGAAAATCAAAAAGTGGGGGGCTACCAAAAAAAACGGTTTTTTCCATTTTTCTCGCTCATTTTTCGTATTAAAAATTTATAATTCGAGCACAATGTAGCACAAACCTAGCACAAATCAGCACAACTGTCAAAATTAATAAATTCGAAAAGTGGGGGGCTAACTTCATACAGGCACTTGGATTGCCTCAAAAGACGAGACATTTTTTCGAGATGGAATTCGAAAATTGCCTGAGAGGTGGGAAAAAGTAGTAGCCAGCGATGGACAATACTTTGATTAATCTGTTAATTCATTTTGTTCTGAAATAAATGCATTTTTGACCACAAAAAAACGGACGAACTAATTCGTACTTCCAATAGTCAATGAAAATTCTCATCTATTAATGTGCTCGACGTACTAATTTAAAGGTACGGATTGTTATTTCTTATATTTTTAACAACCAACTTGCCTGCGATATACAGGCGTTTCTTGTTCGATGAAAATCGTGCCCACAATTTCTTGCAATTAGCAATGTCGTGGTCGTATTCGTGTGCAATACGTTGCAAGTATTCTCAGATTCTAATGCGCATTCTTCACGGAGAGACAATGAAGCCGGTACCCTCTAACCGTATATTTAGTGTTCGCCGCTTAATTCGTCCCGCGAGAAAATTGCATACAATGTCGGTTCAGCTACGGATAATAATGAACCCCGAGTCCTTTCTGTATCTCAAGCACAGTGATCTCTTTGTGATGCATGCTCTTTGAATCTAGGCCTGACGGATTTACCGTAGGTGTCTGCATGCCGAAAAATTACGACCGAGTTTACACGGTAGTCTAAAACCATGTAAACTTAGTCATTATTTTTTGATAACATTCGTACAAATATTCCCTATAATCTATATTTACACGACCAGCATAAAATTAACATAACAATTTTTAATGTAATTACTAATGTTGTGCTTTTTATAATATAGTTACAACACCGGAAATTATGAAATTGATTTTATATTGTTCATGTAAATGTAGGCTAATGATGTTGCCAAACCAGTTTGAAGCTATGCTCTCTATCAGTGCTGACTGTAATGCTACGCTTGTAAAGGTTCAGTTATAAGTATTAGTACTGCAATTCGTAAAATCTCGTTGAACACGAAGGAAAATAATTTTGCTCTTTCAGCGAAATCGTCATTGTTACTGCATATTCGTAGTGACATCAAAAAAATTTAGTTGACGTAACTAATTTTACAAATTATTCGTTATCAGAACAGAAGTAATTTCGTTGGATAGAAAAAATTTGTTGAGTATTTGTCCTAAGAATCACGTTAATTTGCTATTGATGCAAAATAATGTATCTTTAGCAAATTTATTTGCTATCGGAGCAAAACTGTAACTGCTTATATAAATCCATCATGGTTCTTATAACAAAATAATTGTAGATTCAGCAAATTATATCCAACAAATAGTGATTAGCAAATCTTTTTGCTGTCCACATAATAACGTAAAGATTTTGCTAGACCAGCAGAAAATTTACTGGGCCAACAAATTATTTTTCTCCGTGAAGGCATCAGTTAATAGTGACGACTGTCCTCATTTCTGACGCAGTTTGCAAACACAGATATTGTTATCGCAAGCAAAGCGTGTGAAAGCCATTAGTTCCGTTTTTACAAACGCAATCATCTTGGATGAGGTTTAGAAACTTGGATTTAGTACAGCATATACAATAACAAATTTGTGTACTATATGGACAAATACAACTCCGTTATAGTGTAACTGAATTTTCTGTTATTTGGGGACCAGGCGAAAGCTCGGTCGTAAAAAGATTGAAAAATCATTTGCACGGACTGAAGCCTTTTCCGTGCAGCGCAAGAATATTTCGCTGGTGATCAGTGAGTGTTCACAGATTCTCTATGGAAACGCTCCCACTTAATTGCAGCAAAGCTCCCTCTCGCTGATTTTAACCGGTTTCGTTACGGAATCTGCACGCAGAAAAAAATTTCAATTCCTGCACGGAGAAAAATAATTTTGCTCTTTTAGCAAAATCGTCGTTGCTACTGCATTCGTAGTGACAGCAAAAAATTTAATTAACGTAACTAATTATTCATTGTCAGAGCAGAGTTAGTTTCGTTGCTAGGATAAAAAAATTGATTGGGTATATTTATCCTAAGAATCACGTTAATTTGCAAAATAATGTATCCTTAGCAAATTTATTTGCTATCGAAGCAAAACTGCAACTGCTTATACAAATCCATCATGGTTCTTATAGCAAAATAATTTGTAGATTCAGCAAATTATATTCAGTAAATAGTGATTAGTACTTTTAGCAAATCTTTTTGCTGTCCATATAATGAAAAGATTTTGTTAGACTAGCAGAAAGTTTGTTGGGCCAGTAAATTATTTTTCTCCGTGTGTAACCTGTATGAGAATCCGACGAGGAATTCGCTGATGAAAAATAATATCTCCGTTATTGTGACCAAAAACATTCGTCAAAGGTGAACACTCAGCTGCATTAAAACTCGATTGAGATCACTGATCAGCTGAGTAAAAGCCTCCAATGGAAATCTTCCTGTTCCTGAGTTTTTCATCTCAAGCCCCCAACTAGCAGAAAATTCAGTTACACTAACGGAGTCGTTTTTCCCGTTTGCCTTCAATCCGAATCATTGTTACTGATTCACTTTGAGAGAGAACAGTCCATGTCATCCCGACGCGACAAACGTCATACGTGATTCGCGCCTGTCCCCGTTCGCGCGATGGAGGCTAAACAAATCGCCGACTCGGAGGGATCGAAAAGGCGAATTGAGCTCGCGCTCCTCCGCGCCCCTAAGTAGGTCTTTAGCCGCTGAAGACCGTTATCCGGCTCGCGACCTTCGGCAAACAATCCATCTCCGGCGATTCATTCGCGCGACACGGCGCGCTTTATGTACATCTCCGACTCGACCGGATCTTGCGGCACACTATTTGGCTCGTCCGGCTTCTGCCGCAGCTGAAGCTATGTTTGCTTCCGGCGGGGCCAACGAAGGAGGCGAGATCGGTTCGGGCACTGCCGATGTTGGTCACGCATGGTCGAACTGTGTGCTCGCGGACACCGGTCCGCTCGAGAACCCGAGGAAACGTCACGTGTGGATAACTGAATGTCGCTACATTCTAAAAGGTAGCCACCAATTTTGGGAAGTTGAGCTTTCGCCGGAGAAAGGATAGTTTCGGGAAAAGTAAGCTACCTAAAAGTCTTGTATCGCTAAAACCAGCAGAGATTAATTTTTTATGAACAAAGAAGCCTTAATAATATTGAAAATTTCATGATTTTTTATGCTCGTCAGTTGACGTAGTGAATTCTCAAAAGTGATGGACTTGAGTGCCTTTCAGAATACAACCACATTTTCATCAGTATTTCTACCTTATTTGGATACATTTATTGTCACGCACAAGAATTTCTAGCGTGTTATTTCTCGCCTCTGACGTCATGATCCAACATGACAAAAACGAAGTGTTCAGAATATTGGTGTCCCAAGTTCTAAAAAGATTATCCTTTAAAAAGATTATCCTAATTAATTATAGAATAATGACGATTGATTTCCAAGTGGGAAGAATTCTCCATAGAGTTCCTCAGACCATCGCGACGACAACATCGTCGTCAGTCAACGTCACTTTATCATATCGAAGTATCTCAAGACGGACCTCGGAAACCTTGGAGTAACGTTCTCCACCTTCTCTTCGGATCTCTTCTCGTGCGAAGTCCCGGATAGCGGATGAGGAACATCACGTGTAACCTTCGACTTGGTACGTCATCGGCATATTCAGAGCCCGGAGGGCAGGCCGCCTCCGCGGATTCTCTCACGTGCTTCTCCTTTTCCGGGAGCCACTGGCTCGACCGGTTGGCCTTCGACAGATCGGTCGGTCGGTCAATCGAGTAAAATTGCCAAATGTCGTTAGCCGACGTCATCTCTCTTCTCTTCTCTCGTCGATGCAATCGGTCCGATCCTCCCGTGGAACAGACGGGCGAACGAGCGGCCAGGTAGCCGGCTAATTTACGAGGTAAGTCGGCGATGGCCGATGGTGTCAAGGTAGGGAGTTCACGGCGGAGTGAATGCCTTTCTCGTGGCTGTGCCGATCTCAGTACTCCTGGTGCCGCGCACCGACCGATGGGACTCGTCGTTTCCTCGCGCGTTGTCGCGGTGTAAAAACGCGAAGACTTTGTTCGTCCGTCCGGGTGCCAGCCGGTACGAAGTGCGTCAGATCAAGATTAGTCAATCGCACGGCGAGCTCTGATTGATCGTGGCTCGCATTGTCATTGACCGAAGATCACCGGCCTGAGTAACGCGCTGACCAGGCGAATTGACTTTCAGGTGACAGCTCGAGTTATGAGACGCGTTGAATGCTTTTCATGTAGAAGTGGGTGACGTAAGACTCTAGATATTGATATCTTTATTATTGATACGCATACACTGAGAAAGAAATGCTTGACAATTTATTCGTGGGATATAAATTTCGTTCACAGAAATGAATTTTGTATCCTACAAGCCAATTTTCAAGCATTTTTTTCAGTATAGGTGTTGACGGTTTCAGACTTTCGTCGGTCTTTTTGCTCCTTCATTGATAAAGTCAGAAGTGGACTTTTACAGGCGCGCGTGGTCCTTGATATCTGACCGACAAGTTGATGAAGTATTGAAGTTGCGTCTGTCAAGTCGAATCTGACGATCATGCGGGGTTTTTTTTCTTGAAGACGATTATTCTTCGCGACTTTAGTCTCGAGATCTTCAGGTCGGCTTCCGAGGATACGTCACAGAGCTCACAGTTGCGTGGTCTTTGATTAATTCGCTCGAGATGACAGTGACAATTCGGAATACTGGAGAATGTTCGAGAGAGATGTGTCGAGTAACACGAAGTTACGAGCATGTGCTGTTCTCTCGGTTTGGAATTTTAAGTAGTTTGGTTGAATAAGTCAAGTTAATGAGACGTATAATGAAAGTGAACAGATGTCCGAGTTCAGCATCCGAAGTTCGATGAAGAAAGTGTATTCGAGGAAGCACTTATATGATAATCTCAGGTTTATAATAACTCCACGCAGAAATATTTTTACAGTAAAAATGCCATAGAATTTTGTAATTGAGGAACAGATCGACATTCTTTAATAATCGACTGTTCTCTCACACATTTCATACACTGAGAAGAAAATATTTAAAAATTTATTTGTGGAGTATAAATCCGAGTCGAAACTTTGGTCCTATTTAAACCTTGAATTCTATAACGTAATAGGAGCTAAATTAGCAAAGTAGATTTAATTCTAATGATAAGCAATTTACTCCTACTTTGACTTTAATTATGTCTGAAATTTCTCTTTCCATTTTAACATCAAAGTAAGTTGTATTATAGATTTCAGAGTATCAAAATAGGTTTGAATAGTTGAATGGAATAGTAAGGCTGAATCAAAATTTCGTCTCGGTAAGTTCATTTCTACGAAATAAAGTTTATTTTTGTGAAATAAAATTTCTTTTTCTGTAAATAAACTTTATATCCTACAAATAAATTTTCAAATATCTCTCTTCTCTGTGTGTATGTATGCCACTTCTATTTTAGGAACTGAAATGTATATTGAAAAATTTGCTATATTTCTAGCAAAATTTACTAGATTCTTTGGCACAGAGGATAGACTTCTATTGGCAGTATATTTTTGAACTATTAGAAAATTGTAATAAAGTAAAATTGATATTAAAACTCCTAGCTTCTCGCATTTCTATCTCTATTTAATGACGTCTATCTCTTTTTAATGACGTCAGAAGCGAGAAAATGCATGCTAAAAATTCTTGCAAAATACATTGAAATATAAATTTATATATTCATAAAGTAACACTTGCAATTGATTAAACAAATTTGTAAGATATTCCGTACACTCCCCTTTTACTCTAACAATCAATAATTTATTGTAAATTAATCTGAATAGAAATAGGCGAAGAAATAGGTTAAGAAGATGAATTGTATGTCACGTTAATTTACGACAAATTATTGATTGTTAGAGCAAAAGGGAAGTGCACGGAATATCTTACAAATTTGTTTAATCGATTGCAAGTGTTACTTTATGGATATATATTTTTATTTTAACGTATTTCGCAAGAATTTCTAGCATGCATTTTCTCGCTTCTGACGTCATTAAAAAGAGATAGACAATACGAGGAGCCTTAAAATTGAAAAAAATTTGTGTAAAGGGGGTTTAATATAATATTTTCTCTTGGTATAGATATTTTTAATACTACTCACGGGAACAAAATACCACATTTGCACGGTTAACCGAGAATTATTTCCTTCGTGGTCGAGGAAAATTTGATTTTCGAAGTAGGCTGGAACAAAGGAACGCGAGATGTTTCGCAAGTACATCTGCGGCGAGGTCAGAACAACGAATCGGCCATAAAGTTTCGAATGCTGAATCCCTAATGGATTAACGGTTTTAGAAAGTCACGAGACAGCCGACAGAATGCGAATCCGAAATGCAGGAGTTGTCATGAAATCATGGAAGGACCAGGATTGAAAGTACATTTGCAATTGGGCATTCGCGCGGGAGATTATTCGGTCGTTATTTGTATTATTCGTCGAAACATCGGATGCAGCAATGACGAGTATCCCTAAAGACGTAATCTCGAGTCTGTGCAAAAAAATGATTACGAGAAACGGTGCTAATTCGATGGTCGACTGAAAGTGGAGAAAAATTGACGCGATGGCGCCGACATTCTCGACATCCACGTTGTCTGGACGTTGTCAGGAGACAGACAATTAGTAGAATTGAACGAGAACATTCGTGAAGTCGCGCGAGTATATCCTCTGCGATAAATTGGCTTATTTAGCGAATAATTGCAGCATGCGAGACCGTTTTTAATTGGCGAGTTTTAGCTCACAAACACGATACGGCGAAACGCGACAGACTCGACGAACTAGATAGTCGAGACTTTCGATGCTGGGACTTATTAATTTACCGTTACTAGACGCGACTATGCTCATCGCCGACCTGCATTCAATTCTAGCCGTCGTGTTTTCGTGCATATATCGAACATCGCATTCAACGTAACAATTCTCCACATGTAAATATTCTTATCTCCTCTTCAGCCACATACGTGCGTGAGCAATATTGAATACACTAAATTGATGCAGAACATCTGTCATTTCTCTGTTGAATGAACAGAGGAAGTTTGAGTACTAAGAGGATGCCACACACTGAAAGAAATGTTTGAAAATCTTTTTTTCACTTTTTTCCATTGGATTTTACAGAATTCCAAGTGCTTATGCAGAATGAAAGTACAAATGTCAATGGCAGAATACTCGACATTAAAAAGAATATAAAAATTTAAAAATATTTTTTATTTACATATATTCTTATAGTTTTGGTATAACATGACCATGTATATTCTGTTATATATCAACATTTGTGCTTTCTCTGTGCAAACATTTCACAATTCTATACAATCAAATAGAAGAACAGTGCAAAATAAATGAAAGTTGCATTATGTCGGCGTTAAAAGGAAAATAGAAAGTATTCGTTGGATGTCTGAAAAAATAGCGAGTCTCGACGTTAATCATTTTATTCATGAAAATTACTGTTATCTTGAGACTGAACAGTTTGATTTTCCTATGTTATTTGACAAACACGTGACAATTCTCCATATGTAGATATTCTTATCTCCTTAGCCATATGCGTGCGTAAGCAATATTGAATACACTAAATTGATACAGAACATCTGTCATTTCTCTGTTGAATTCTTCCAGGAAGTTTGAGTACTAAGAGAATGCCACACACTGAAAGAAATGCTTGAAAATCTTTTTTTCACTTTTTTCCATTGGATTTTACAGAATTCCAAGTGCTTATGCAGAATGAAAGTACAAATGTCAATGGCAGAATACTCGACATTAAAAAGAGTATAAGAATTTAAAAATATTTTTTATTTACATATATTCTTATAATTTTGGTATAACATGGCCATGTATACTCTGTTATATATCAACATTTGTGCTTTCTCTGTGCAAACATTTCACAATTCTATACAATCAAATAGAAGAACAGTGCAAAATAAATGAAAGTTGCATTATGTCGGCGTTAAAAGGAAAATAGAAAGTACTCGTTGGATGTCTGAAAAATAGCGAGTTTTGACGTTATTCATTTTATTTATGAAAGTTAATGCTATCTCGAGATTGAACAGTTTGATTTTCCTATGTTATTTGATAAACACGACCGATCTTTTGTAGCAACTTGACATACTCATCCCGCGTATCGTCAACCAGATGCGTTCAATGAAAGAATTATCCTTAGACAGCTGCTCGTGAGAATCGGAGAGATCGAACGAGGAGAAAACTGTCGAAGCACAGAAAAGAAATCTCCGACTTCCTCCTCATTAAATATGAAGCACTTGTCGAACAAAAGGTGCGTGTATCGCACCTTGATCATGTTCTCGTGCACGAAGAAAATTAATTTGCTGGTCCAGCAAATTTTCTGCTGGTCTAACAAAATCTTTTCGTTATTAGCAAAAATATTTGCTAAGAGTACTATCATCATTTGCTGAATATAATTTGCTGAATCTACAAATTATTTTGTTACAAGAACCACGATGGATTTATATAAGCAATTGCAGTTTTGCTCCGACAGTAAATAAATTTGCTAAGGATACATTATTTTGCATCAATAGCAAATTAACGTGATTCTTAGGACAAATATACACAATAGATTTTTTTCTATCCTGCACTGTAAAAACTGATGTGTTAAATTTAACATTTCATGTGTCCCAAATCATCCACTCTCATTTATGTGTAAATTTAACACAAAACAAATGTGGTAAAATGTAACATGCATAATATATAAAAAATTAACACAAGAATTTAACACTTGAATACCATCAGGAATCACAGTTTGTGTTAAATTGACATATGCATAATGTTAAATTAATTAAAATAAAACGTTACTTTAACATTTAAGAGAAGTATTAATCTATGGTTTTGATGAAATGAAAATGTTAAATTGACATAATCTATGTCTGACATATTAAATATGTCAACTTAACACAACCTGTGATTCCTAACGGTATTCAAGTGTTAAATTCTTGTGTTAATTTTTTCCATATTATGCGTGTTACTTTTTAACACATTTGTGTTAAATTTACACATAAATGAGAGTGGATGATTTGGGACACATAAAATGTGTTAAATTTAACACATCAATTTTTACAGTGTGGCAACGAAACTACTTCTGCTCTGATAACGAATTTGTAAAATTAGTTACGTCAACTAAATTTTTTTGATGTCACTACGAATATGCAGTAGCAACGACGATTTTGCTAAAGGAGCAAAATTATTTTTCTCCGTGTGCGCATCGCCTTAAACAACACGTGCGCCACACGAACGCTCTTTGTGCCCGTTGCTTCCTCGCAGATTTTTCTTCAGGACCAAGGCACGTGGCCGGCATGCTCGAACCACCGCCGTCGTCACTCTCTCTCGCAGCCGCTTTTCCCTGGCATTTCGGGGTCGCGTTTCAACACGCGAGTACTTTCGATGCGGGTCTCAGACATTAGCCACTTCTCGACCCAATCCTCGTCGGGTGAGCTCGATTTTAGATATCACGTGCGGGACTCGCCCACGTGAAAGGCGCGAAGTGTTGACTCATTAATGACCGCCGTGGCGTTTGACTTTGATGTCAGCACCCGAGAATCTTCTCTTCAGCGAGATCGTCTTATATGAAGAGAAGATACCCCAGTCAAAATTTTGGTCTTATGTTAAACCTTGAATTGTACAGCGCAGTAGGAGCTAAGTCAGCAAAGTAGGTTCAATTCTGATAATACAATTTACTCCTACTTTGGCTCTGATCTCTCTTAACCTTCTAACCGTGTTCGTTTCGGATACACTTTGACCATGTTCAAGGTCTAAATAGATCCAATGGTGAGAACTCACTATTTAATTGACATATATGTATTTTTTTATATCTTTTATTTTAGCATTATATGAAGTAATTTAGTACAATATGTACTGACTTTTTCTAAAATAAGTCGCGAAGTATCACATTTGTATCTAGAATATTACAAAAGCTGTGTGAACTTTGAAACTGCTCTGGGTTAAAAAAGCACCCAGCTAGAATACGGCTAGAAGGTTAAAGTGAATCAGTGAAGTCACTGATATCAGTTATGAGTATAGCACTGAGCATTTTCAGTGCTGTACTTATAACTGCAATCAGTATATATTCACTGTTTTCAGTGATGTTTGACTGATTCATTTTAAGAGAGATAATATCCGAAATTTTCTTCAAAATAAGTTGTATCATAGGTTTCAAAGTATCAAAATAAGTGTTGGATGGAATAATGAGGCTGAAAGTAGAAACAAAATGTCGATTCGGGTATTGCAATAAAAATTACAATAAAGTTTTGTAATCTTCAGCTTATACAGAATTATAATCGAAATTTCTCTATTCGCTTCAAAGTATTATGCAAAGTATTATATATATTGCGTGTGTTGTAATTTTTACTACAATGTATTTTCTTTATGTAAAAGTCAAATTGATCAAATCGTATAATTTCACGTGGCGAGCTTCAACGCTCACATTCTCTGTGACGATCGGCAGTCGAAGTCCCGCTAATCCTGCGGAACGCACGCGTGGGATTTTGCACGTGTCGCAACAGAGAGAAGGAAGAAGACACGGATTGCAGTCTCGCGGACGCGTAATCACGATTGTCTAGTTGCTCGCGTTTTTACGCGAGCGACTTTATTGCTCTCGATGTAAATGGAACGGCACGGAAGAACGTCTCGAAGTTGTCTCGCTGAGGCACGAAATCCTCTACCTGTTTTCACCGCGGCTCTATTCAACATCTGTTGTCGGGCAACGATCGAACTGATATATCGAGGACTATGCGCGCATTATAATCCAAGGCACGACCGCGATCGCGCCCCGTCGTAACACACTTTCCTCTACCAAAGCGAAGTCCGTCTACAAATGCGCGACAACGATATTCGCCGATGACTCGCCGGTCTTAATTAACCCGACGTTCAATTAAGCTGACGTGCGGCACCTTCGCGCTGCGATTTTCTCGACGAACATACCGCAGTATTTTTCCGCAACTCTGTTCTCATCGCACTTCTCGTAATCTCGGAAATATAAAAAACAACAAGAATCTCTAAAGAAGAAATTGTTCATGAAGAAAACAATTGCTCACTCAAAAAATACATCCTTAGCAGAATCTTCACGGAGAAAAGTAATTTAGCTCTTTTAGCGAAATCGTCGTTGCTATTGCATGTTCGTAGTGATATCAAAAAAATTTAGTTGTAACAAATTTCACAAATTATTCGTTATCAGAGTAAAAGTAGCCACACGCAAAAAAATGACTTAGTAATACCAGCTAAACCGCGGTAGCTGATTTAAACTTAGTCAAAAGGCTAATCGTTTAACTGTCAATGCTAAGAATTGGCTATGACAGCTAAAATGCATTTGCTATGAAATACAAATATATTAGGTGACATTAAAAATGCACATTATTTCAAATAGCTAAGAAAATGGCAGTTATTCCTAAATTTCTTATCGTATGCATATATTAACCCTTTCACTGCCAGAGTATTTAGATGAAATGTGTCCAGACTGCCGAACTTAGAAACTTTGACAATTTTAACTGGACATACTATTTTTGGAGTATTTTCATCGACATGTTACCTATTTTGTTTAAAAGTTTTTTTACTGACCATTTTTTTATACTACATAATAAATTGAGTTCATTTGTGCCGCTTATGCGATAAAACGAAAAAAAAACAAAAAAAACAAAAAACAAAAAAGGATAAAAAAAAGCAAAAAAAAGTAGGATGCTAAATCCTTTTGACAACCTCCTCGACGGTGCATCCTGGGTTCGGATGATGTCAAGAGTAATTCACGCAAAGGTGAATCAGCGGGTCAAACTACGATGAAAATGATATATCTGGTAAAAGTAGCAAAAAGTCATGAATTGAGTTACTTTTACCCATAAATGATATAGCTTATCAGAATAACACTGTTTAAATATGGCATAAAACTTAAGTGTGCGAGAACAAAGATTTTCCAAAAAATGAAAAAAATAGTCATTTTCTTATAGCTCTAGTCGGTCAAGGGTGCGAGATAGTATAAAATGGACCTCGGAATCATATTCAGCGACCCCGAAAACATAGGAAAACACATTCTGTTCACGTTTAATGCATTATCAGGCGTCAGTAGAGCATTTATTTATAGGACAAAGATTTGTGATTTTCCGGCAGTTTGGACCAAGTCCAAAAAAACAAAGATCTTTGTTCTCGGCAGTGAAGGAGTTAAAGAAGTTTGTCGCACAACTACAATCATTTGCTACAGTCATTTGTTTCTAGCAGCTAATATTTCTCGCACCTAAGTTTAAACAGCGAATAAATTTAGCTTCGGTAGTATCGACATTAGCTGTCCTTATGTCAGTAATACATCTTATCTGCTACAATTATTTTTTAGCTCTGGAAGCTAGTTCTTTTTTTGCGTGCAGGATAGAAAAAATTTGTTGAGTGTATTTGTCCTAAGAATCACGTTAATTTGCTATTGATGCAAAATAATATATCCTTAGTAAATTTATTTTCTACCGGAGCAAAACTGCAACTGCTTATATAAATCCATCATGGTTCTTATAGCAAAATAATTTGTAAATTCAGCAAATTATATCCAGCAAGTAGTGATTAATACTCTTAGCTAATAACAAAAAGATTTTGCTAGACCAGCAGAAAATTTACTGGGCCAGCAAATTACTTTTCTCCCTTCTTCTTGTATAAAATATTCACTGTGACAATATCCGTCATATTTTTACCAATTACAACGATCAGGCAGGGAAAAGTTCTAGAATTAATTAGTCTTTAAAGTCAATAAAATGCCAGAATAAAAATTCTGAAAACGTCCTCTTTTCGTATATATGTGTGTGTGTATGAAATAAAATATCTCCATATATTTCTTATTAAAACTCCTGTAGCCTCTTAAGTCACCGCGGTTCGGTTGGTGACGTCAGAAACGAAGGAAACCATGCTCGAAATTTCTGCAAACCACGTTTAATAAAAAGATATATCATTCAAATGACATCTATTTTGCACACTTGCAAAATGCTCCGGACAGCCGAAATTATTATTATTTCTTTTGCCGAAATAATTCTTAAATAACCGCAAGATAAATACGAGAAATCGTTTTGACAGAAAATCAGTGTGTAACTCGATGCCTTAACTCCTAAATCTTTTAACCAATCTAAATCAAATCTTGCGAAAAATGTAGACTACATGAAACTTGGACCCTCTCCCTCTAATTTCATCCCCTTGACACTTTGTGATAATTTAAGTTTAGATGATATAAGAGGCCCGGATATTTTAAGCTAGTAACGAATAAAAATAGATTAATAACAAAAAAATAAATTTCCTCGGGGTAAAGCAACATCCCGTTGCGAACTACCCTTCAAATGCGCGATGATTGTAATATTTCTCACATCTACAGAGTCGATCGATCATGAAACTAAGTCCTCTTCCTCTTCGCAGAATCATGATCGGGCTCGCAAGCCTCCTCTTCCTCGCGGTCGGCTTGGCGAACGGCCAACTCAACTTCGAGGGAAACCCGCTCACCGAGTATACCGATTACACCGCCGAGGAGAGCAACCTCTCGGAAAAGAGCGTCAGAGAAAAGGACATCTCCATCGACCTCTTGTCGAACTCGGCGGTGTCGCGTCCTCAGAGGCTCTATCCGGTCTTCGAGAATCCTGAGAGTCCTCGAGAACCGACCAAGACCATGGACGATCTGTTCTCCGACAAATCGCAACATGTGCTCTCGGTCCACAGCCCACGCTCGCAGGACGTATCCTCGCGACAGTTGCAGATCTCCGCCGACCAGAACTCGCCGATCGATTCGGCGGAGTTCGCGCTCAACACCTTCCTGAACTCCAAGACACCCGAGGAGTCTCGTGTGTCGCTCGACTATTTCCTGCGCAGCCAACAATCACCAGAGGCCCAGTCCCGCTCGTCCGACGTCACCGTGATCGACCAGGATAAGATACTCGAGCGAATGGACACTCAGCCGATCATCCACCGAGTGGAGCAACGGCAACCGCTGCTCTCTCAAGTGGAACAACGACAACAGCCGTCGCTGCCCCAGGCAGAGCACACGATTCACCTTCATCTGACGCCGCAGATGGACCAGGGTCAGCTGATATCGCAGCTGATGCCGCAACAGATCGACCAGCAACGGCAGCAACTGTCGACCGGCCAGAGTTTCGCTTACGCGGCGCAACCGGTCGCCCAGACAGTGATGCAACCGATAGTCAGGGCTCCAGCGGGTGTCCTGGGTCCGGCGACGATGCTGCAGCCGGTGCCGATCGGGCCTGGCGTGCAGGTGAGGAACGACATGATGATGCCGGCGATGTGGCGGCAGAGGATGAAGAGGTTACGCGCGAAGCCGTTGCCGGGCGTCCTCCCGCAGGCCAGGATCGCGCCCGGGTTGTACAAAGGACCTGTCACGGGTGAGTCTTTTCCGTCACATATCGAACAATGCTTCTATTTATTTTTGCACGTGCTTTCATTGCGTAAAACGCAATAAATAAATACGAGAAATCGTTTTGACAGAAAATCAGCTGTATGTGATTTGATGCTTCAACTTCTAAATCTTTTAGCCAATCTAAACCAAATCTTGCATACTCTCCAGGATCTTGCGGAAAATGTAGATTACATGAAATGTAGACTACTTGGATCCTCTCCCCTCTAATTTCATCCCCTTGATACTTTGTGATAAGAAAAGCATTCTGTACAACCAATACGACGTAAACTCTGCGGAGAAATGTTAGCATACTGTCGATAAAATCTTCAGCATCCCTTTAACGCAGTTTATTGTCATATCTTCGCATATCTTTCACGGTAATTTTCTGCTTGAGAGACCGTGTCGCAGCTAAAAAATCTTGCTCTCTGCCGGCGGTCCTTTCATTTTGTCTTTTTGCTGGTACACGAAGTCGCGACTCCATCGATCACGTTTAGCTAAATCTGCCGCTAACAACTGAACATACATATTTACAGATTACCGATTGTAAATGCCTTTTTTACGATCCGCCGCGCGCTAATACATAACTCAGTGATCGTCGGAAACTGGCTGTCGCGCGTAACGAATTAATCGCACGGCAAATTCTTTCCTCGAGGAATATTTCTTTCGAAACAAGCGACAGCTCACGCGTCGTGATTCTTTCCTTCCCTTCCTCCTCTTCGACTGGAGTAGACATCGAGACACGTTTGCTTTGCAGAAACGCAATAAGTCGCGATCGAATGGACTAAAAATATATGAACATTTATTTGTGGGATACAAGATAAATATCCCAATGACCAATTGACTTTACAATATCATTCTCATTATCTAAATACTCTTGCAATCTCCTCTCATAATATAAGATTCGATTACTGGAACATTCATCTTGAATGTTTATCTCTCTGTGAAGTAAACTTTTATTTCTCCCACAAATAAGTTTTCAAGTATTTTATTTTCTTATTGCATTACACCTAATTAATAATTTGACTTTCTCATGTTCTGTCCACCTGTGTGACTCTTTCTTCCGCTTCTTCCTTCAGTACCCTTCAAGGCCCAGGCGCCGGTGGAGGTGATCTACACGAAACCACCGGGTTTCCATCGAGGACCGGCGAACATGATCGGCAACCCGTCCTTTGAGGACGCTGGCGGTTGGTTCCCCGACTCCGATTATCCGCCGCCCTCGAAGGACGTCTACTATTCTCAGCTGTACACGCAGTCCTATGACCCGCACTACTACAACTACATCGCCGCGACCGGCAAGATACGGCCGCATCTGTACGGCAAGCTCGGCAAGCGCAAGGAGGACCCGGACGGCGGCATCTGGTCGGAGCTCTACCGCGGCTTCACCCAGCACGGTTTGAAGAATCTTATGACGCCGACCTTCCTCCTAGGCATGACCCTGCCGGTGGTGACGCTCATGCTTTCCGCCCTCGTGCAGAAACGCTCCATCGCGAGGGCGGACGCCCGCGACTTTGCACAGGAAGACGCACTCCGGGAGTACCTGGAGAGGCTGCAGCGGGCAATGATGTGTTACGGGGCTAACAGGAGCACCTCGGCGAAACGCGAGGATGGGTGCTGAAGGCTGTGAAGAGAACGCTACGACCGATCTGGGCGAGTGATTTACGATCTACGAGTGATCTACGATTGAGGGGTTTGCGCATGGAAGAGAGAGAGAAAGAGAGAGAGAGAGAGAGAGGCAGAGAGAGGCGCAGGATTCTGAGATTTCCTACTTTAGTATAAGGATCACATCTATTAATTCAAAGTGCAAAACTCAGAGATGGTCGCGTTCATTGAGAAATACTCCATGAGGACACAAACTTCGCCGTTCTCAAGTAAGTAATCCAAATCATTAGCAAAAAGATTTGAACCGAGGAACACGTCGTCGCTAAGAAACATGCACTAAAAAAAAGAAACCTCTTGAAAATTTATTTGTAGGATATAGATTTTATTTCTGTGAAATAAAGTTTATTTCTCTCTCTCTCTCTCTCTCTCTCTCTTTTATGAATAAAACTATATTCATCGCAAATAAATTTTCAAGTATCCTTTCCTCAAGACGTTCGGGTGAAACGCGTCGAACGCAGAGGATCCTCGGAAATTTATGTAAACCCGTTTTCTCTCACTTTGACATCTCAGATTCTCATGTCTTCTGTCGCGAAGTACGCCGAGAAAAAAATACCGGAACATTTATTTGTAATTAAGAGTTTTGGTTTCACAGAAATAAGCGTTATTTTTGTGATTCTTTTTTCTTTATATTACATAACACCCAAGTATTCTTTTCTCAGTGTGTAACTTGGATTTTCGCGTATGAATTATCGCTTTCAAATCACAGTATGTGAGTAAAGTGATCACAGTGATGTAAAGAGGGGAAAAAGCAGCGGTGATCGAAGCGCTCAGCTTCAGCTGAGAGGATCCAGACGAATCGGAGGTTCTCGATACAACGGAACGACCGTTTCTCGCGCTCGCGGCTTGTTAGCATTTGCCGTGCACGCTCGAATTCTTGCGATCACTTCTAGAGCAGGCCCGAAGAATGATACACGCGCGCGTGTTCCCGCGTTGTGTCATTAGCGTTACGCAAGACCGGCGTCTCTCCGCCGTCTCTCTGTCAAACAGGTGTGTCATTACCGGCGGCAAAGGAAGAAAAGGTGCGAGAAACGCCGCTGAAACCATTGAATAAAGAATACCAGTGCTGGGATTTCTGTAACTCGTTATTAGAGTTAACGACAGTTTCGTTATCGTTTCGCAGCTTTTGTATATCGTAGAAAAACTTCTGTAACGAGTTACAGAATCCCAGCACAGGAAGGAATATGTTGCGATATATCGTGGGTAATCGATTGTGTTGCATTGGTTCAGTTTGATGACGTGAAGTGCGTCATAAGGTGACGTTACTGGAAACACAGTCTGGCGGTATACTTTAAACATCTTGGAAGTGCACTGTTAGAAAACTTCTCTCTAAATAATTTAATAACTGGGTATTAAATTTAATAACTGGGATGTGAAGTTTTTTTTACATAACTATGTTATAAAAAGTAATAGTAAAATCAATATTATATTTTTAATAACACATAGTTGCATAATTTTTGCGATAGCATAAAGGAGAACCAATGAAGAGATTTCTGGATAGCTCCGTTGAAATCTCGATGAAGGCCACGATGCTTTGCAAGCTGAATCTTTCAGGTCACGTGACTGAAACAGTCTCGTATTTATGATATATTAGAAAAATTATTCTAACATATCACAACGTGTTATAATGTTTCATAATAAGAAAACATGGAATATAAGATAGAAAATATTAGATTTCATAAGAAATATGAAATATTATAACTAATTTATAACCAATAATTCTAATGTTATGAAAATCTTCACTATTACTAATTTTAATATCAAATTCTTAAATTTACTTACAAAAATGTTATTATTTTTAAGAACTTTTCTAACAGTGGCAAAGGAATATTAATTTTAAAAGAATAATAGAAAAATTGTATTTATATTTTGCTCATATTGATGAGGGAAATAAAATTAGTCACTTGTAATAATTTTCTCTTCAATACGTTTACGCATCTTCGTCTATTCCATTGATTGACAATATTACGTCATAACATTTACTTCGATTCCATAGTATCGATAGTCGCATTTGGTGCACTTTCACTACGTCACATCCTTCTAACAGAGAATTTTCTCTTTATGCTCCTTCCTGGTATTCTTTATTCTGTGGCTGAAACTGTTTTCCATTACACTTTCCGCGTGATTTAGGGAAAATTAATTGCGACCACGAGACATGGGCCAGGCCAGGGCCTTCTGGCCGATGTTGCCGCGGCGAAACACTGTGTATGTATAATGCATACGTGTACGTGCGTGCGGTACACGTATATCATCGCCAACAAAGACATAATATATTCGCGTTAACGAAAGCGCGCGCTTCGCGTTCATTCTTCCCTCCGCAAAACACGCGGGAATTCCCACATTATTCATCTGAGCGTGCCAGATTGAAAGCGCGTAGAGCTACTTTTCTTTTTTTTTCAGAGCGCGATAATGAAATCGACGTGAGAAAACTTTCGCGTGCTCGCTGGGCCGATCGCGCGCGATGCATGGAGGTGAGAGGGGGGAGTCCACGAAATCAAATCAGTTAGACTTATTGTTAGTTAATTGACAAGACGAGAGCCAACTTGAAGAGAGTGCAGTCGCGAACGTACACTGAGAGAGAAGATATCTAAAAATTAACAAATATTTCTTGGATGGGTTTCCATTAATACAGTGTCTGTCCTTTTTAGCTGAACTGCCCGAAATTGCTCAAATATATTTGTCTCACTCTAACTTACTGCACCAATATACAGCAATTCAGACAGTTTAACTAAAAAGAACGGACCTCTATTAAATTAAAATTCTTGTCACTTAAACCGAGTATTGTTTACTTGAATGTCTTTATGAGGATTGTGAAAACGAATGGAAAAAGGGAGAAATTAAGTGGACGAGTAAATAAAGGTGTAAATAAATTGAGACGAGACAGAAGAAATGAAGCACAAAAATAGGGCTCACTTCGAAATCTAATCTCGTTCGTGCGTTGCAGCCTACGCTTTCTGCTCACGTACAGGCGCACGCCTAATTTACGAGTTCATTAATATATGTTCAGGCTAACGTAATTGACCTTGCCGTTGAATTGCTAATCCGGCAACGTCCGCTGGAATCGCCGGCTCGTGCGTTGTATTAAACACGTGCGTGTGTTAAAAATGGTCGTATACACGAAAAAAAAAGTTCGGCTGGATTAAGCAAATTTTTGTCAGAATATGAACGAGCCAGGAATTCCGGTTGAAGATCTTAACTTGGACAGAATTATGATAACATCAACTGGAATTTTTTAGTCATATTTCACCAGAAACCTGCTTAATCCAACCAGGCTTTCTTTGTGTATACGAGCGAAAATAAATATCATGGCGAAGTGAAAGACACGGTTGATCGAAGTCGAATTCGGCATACGTGAAAAAAATTAATTACTACGGCAGTAATGATTGAGGGGACATGAGGTCGGTACAAGTTATTCTCCGCGTCTTTTTTACACTGAGGAAAAATACTTGAAAATTTATTTGTGGGATATAAAGTTTATTTACAGAAACAAATTTTATTTCACGGAAATAAAATTTTTTTTACTGCTACACTGAAAAAAATACTTGAAAATTTATTTGGATACGTGTGAGTGTGTGTGGGATAAAAGTTTATTTCGCAGAAATAAACTTTACAGAAATTAACTTTATTTTGCAGGAGCAAACTTTATGTATCCCGCAAATAAATTTTCAAATACCTTTTCCTCAATATATATCGACGAGAGCTCGATGAAAGATTGATGGAGAGCGATTCGCGAGATTGACGAATCGCTAAATACAAACACGCCGACACTTCGTACCGAGTCGCATTTACAGTTTAGAAAGTAATACACCGATAATCAGATCGACAACATAATGAGTGACCGGTTGCGCCGGATACGCCAGTTCTGTTGCGCAAAATGTAGTGTGCATCGTGATATTCTCGAGATGCACTTCTCGCGATCTAGAACGCAAAACCCGTCTCGAGTGTGTAAAACGTTTAAAATGTAGGCCGAGTATCATGGTGTCTTGCCAATTCTCTGCAATTCGTTCGGTCAAGCCGCCGAATGAACAGGATTCGAGGTGTTCCTTTTTCTCGCGCGATGAGTCGTTTGGAACGTTCGCGTGCGAGCAAATTTTTCAA